CACACACACACACACACACACACACACACACACACACACACACACACACACACACACACACACACACACACACGCTGCAAAGGGAAAAAGAGGCAGCAGAAATCTCAGCTGTACTTCTAGCCCTTTTTAAAAGTTTGCTCTGTAAATTGGAATGAGGTCAGATTTGGAGCTTCTCATTGCACGCGGAGATTATTATTGCATCGGGTTCCAAGCCAATGGGAAGCCCGGGGGTGGGGCTTGGCACGAGGAAGCGTTGGTTACAGCGGCTGATTGGCTGCGGCCAAGACTGTGAAAGGATAAAGAGGCGCGGGGCGGAATTGGGGTCTGCTCTAGGCTGCAGCGAGAGAAAGTGGGTTCGGGCAAGAGGCCGGTTTCGCCCCCGGCCTCTAGTGCTTGCACGCTCTCTAAGAGTCTGCTCTGGAGGAACTCTGCCATTACCAGCTCCCTTCTTGCAGGAGGGAGGGGGAAACACACATTGATTCATGCCAGTCTGTTGCACGAAGGCTTTTCGGCTTCTTACCTTGTTGCAACAAAATAATCGCACAATCTCCTTGCTTCTGATTCCGCCCTCAGAGAGTCCTGGAGCCAGAACCCTTTTTGCTTTGCATTGTAGCCAAAGGACTAAGTGATAGAGACTATGTCGCTTTCCTGAGCTCCCGAGAGCGCTCGTGAACTGGGATCGACCGCTTCGGGGGAAGAAAAAAACAAAACAAAACAGACTTGCCCGGGAGGCGGCGAGAAACTTGCACTGGAAGAAGCTCCAGAAACCAGCCTTCAAGAAACTCCTCTGCACTCGGGCACGGTCTCCAGACTCAGAGCCGGGAGACCGCACACTGCGGCGCGGTGAGAGCGCGCGGCGGCAGAGAGCGAAGCCGGGAGACGCTCCCCAGCCTGGAAACTACAACTGCCCCGCAGGCGGCGGGTGCGGCTGCCCGCGGCTCTCGGGGCTCCTCCGCGCGCACGGAGCTGCGGGCCGGCTGGGCCGCGCGCGTCCTCCCCCTCGGCGCGTGCTTGCCCGGGGAGCCGGGAGGGCCCGGCGATCGCGCCGCGGCTGCCGCGAGCGTGTGAGCGCGCGTGGGCGCCCGCCGAGTCGGGGCCATGGTGCAGCAGACCAACAACGCCGAGAACACGGAGGCGCTGCTGGCCGGCGAGAGCTCGGACTCGGGCGCCGGCCTGGAGCTGGGCATCGCCTCGTCGCCCACGCCCGGCTCCACCGCCTCCACGGGCGGCAAGGCCGACGACCCGAGCTGGTGCAAGACGCCCAGCGGGCACATCAAGCGGCCCATGAACGCCTTCATGGTGTGGTCGCAGATCGAGCGGCGCAAGATCATGGAGCAGTCGCCCGACATGCACAATGCCGAGATCTCCAAGCGGCTGGGCAAGCGCTGGAAGCTGCTCAAAGACAGCGACAAGATCCCGTTCATCCGGGAGGCGGAGCGGCTGCGCCTCAAGCACATGGCCGACTACCCCGACTACAAGTACCGGCCCAGGAAGAAGGTGAAGTCGGCCGGCGCCGGCGGCGCGGCCGCCGCCGCCTCCAAGCCCGGGGAGAAGGGGGACAAGGTCGGGGGCGGCGGCGGCCACGGGGGCGGCGGCGGCGCGGGGGGTGGTGCGGGCGGCGGCGCCGGCGCCAAAACCGCGCCGAAGAAGAGCTGCGGCTCCAAGGGTGCGGGCGGCGCGGGCGGCAAGCCGCACGCCAAGCTGATCCTGGCGGGCGGCGGCGGGAAGGCGGCGGCTGTTTAGTTGGTGGTGGCTGCTTTGCTGCTTCTTTTTGTCGCCGCCGCCGCCGCCGACCACCACGCGCTGTTCAGGGCGCGGACTCCCGGCGCCGCGGCCGCGGCCTCCGCGGCGGCCCCGGCCGGCGCCAGCCTCGCGGCGCCCGGCAAACCCGCGGCCGACCGCAAGGTGAAGCGCGTCTACCTGTTCGGCGGCCTGGGCGCGTCGCCGCCGCCCGTCGGCGGAGCGGGCGCGGGCGCCGACCCCGGCGACCCCCTGGGCCCTTATGAGGAGGGCGGCGCCGGCCGCTCGCCCGACGGGCCGGGCCTGATCGGCCGCAGCAGCGCCACCTCGTCGCCCGCCGACGGCCGCAGCTACGCCGGCCTGCGCGCCGCCTCGCCCGCCCCGTCCAGCGCGCCCTCGCGCGCGTCCTCCTCGGCCTCGTCGCGCTCGTCCGCCTGCTCGTCCGCGGGCTCCTCGTCCTCCGACGACGAGCTCGAG